ACAAGTAATGAAGAAGCACTTCCCCAATCTGGCAAAGGAAATAGACTTCCAGGAAGTCCAGGAAGCTCAGAGAGCCCCAAAGAAGTTGGATCCAAGAGGAACACACCAAGGCACATCATAATTACGTTACCCAAGATTAAACAGAAGGAGAGAATCCTAGAAGCAGCAAGAGAAAAAGAGACAGTTACCTACAAAGGAGTTCCCATGAGACTCAGCTGATTTCTCAAAAGAGACCTTACAGGCAAGAAGGGGCTGGAAAGAAGTATTCCAAGTCATGAAAGGCAAGGACCAACATCCAAGATTACTCTATCCAGCAAAGCTTTCATTTTAGAATGGAAGGGCAGATAAAGTGCTTCCTAGATAAGATCAAGTTAAAGGAGTTCATCATTGCCAAGCCCTTATTATATGAAATGTTAAAGGGACTTATCTAAGAAAAAGAAGATAAAAAATATGAATAGTGAAATGATAGCAAACTCATGGTTATTGACTCCCAACCACACCTAAAACAAAAACAAAAACAAAAACAAACTAAGCAAACAACTAGAACAGGAACAGAACCACAGAAATGGAGATCACATGGAGGGTTATCAGTGGGGGAGTGGGAGGGGGAGAGAGGGGGCAAAGGTACAGAGAATAAGTAGCATAGATGGTAGGCAGAAGATAGACAGGGGGAGGTTAAGAGTAGTATAGGAAATGTAGAAGCCAAAGAACTTACATGTATGACTCATGGACATGAACTAAAACGGGGGAAATGTGGGTGGGAGGGGGTGTTCAGGGTGAAGGGGAATAAAGGGGGGGAATGGGACACCTGTAATAGAATAATCAATAAAATATATTAAAAAAAGAAAAATGGTCACCACTAGCAGTGTATTTCAGTGACACGGAATAGCTTGCAAAACTTGCTTACTTGTGTGATGTATTCATCCTGTTCAATGAACTTAATCTGTCACTTCAGGGGAGAATGACAACTGTGTTCAAGTTGGCAGATACAGTGGCTGCATTCAAAGCCAAACTGAAATTACAGGGGTGATGAGTGAACATTGGGATTTTTGACACATTTCAAACATTAGCAGAGATTTTGAAAGAGTCTGACCCAGGGTTTTCTTTCTTCCAGCTGGTGCATGATCACCTGTCTAAGCTTTCAAAAGGGTTTGAGCATTACTGCCCAATCTCAAAAGACCCCCGAACTGGGAAGGAATGGATCCGAGACCCATTTGTGAATAAGCCAGGTGATTCAACTTTGTCCATGCTAGAAGAGGATCAACTGCTTGAAATCACAAATGACAGTGACCTTACAAGTATGTTTGAGACAACTTCAAATCTCCATACATTCTGGATTAAAGTCAAGGTGGAATATCCTGAGACTGCCACAAAAGCACTGAAAAGCCTGCTTCCATTTCCAACATCTTATCTTTATGAGGCAGGGTTTTCTGCAGTGACAGTTACCAAAACGAGATTACAGAGTAGACTGGACGTAAGCAACACACTTCGGGTGTCACTGTCTCCTGTCACCCCCGGATGGGACCGTCTAGTTGTGGCCAAACAAGCCCAGGGCTCCCACTGATTCTGCATTATGATGAGTTGTATAATTATTTCACTATATATTACAATGTAATAATAATAGAAATGAAGTACACAATAAATGTAATGTGCTTGAATCATCCCAAAACCACCCCCCAACCCCGGTCTGTGGAAACATTGTCTTCCATGAAACCAAGCCCTTTTGGTGCCAAAAAGGTTGGGGACCACTGGCCCGGAGGATTGAGGACAGTGTGGCTACAGACCATGGATTTAGGTCTACAGAGAATCTTCCAGTGTGGGACTTTTCTCTGTAATGATCAGCTGCCAGGGCTTGTCTGTAGGGAGAGCAGGGCAATTGGATTCTATTTTTAGGATCCTTAAAGTCTGAGGAGCTTCTTGTACCTGAAGCAAAATGTTCACCACCATCTGTCCTTTATTTATTGTTTAATGTATTTACTTATAAATTCATTTTAGCAAAATTGTCTCAACATTTAAACATGATTTATATAACCAACAAATCAAAGTCAACATGTTTTATAAATCAAATTATTTAAACATTAACTGCAAACTTAAATCCTCTTCCACAATTTGACAGAATCACCAGTATAATAGGTTGGCTTCTCTAAAAGCATTGAACATTTGGTAAAGAACATATATCCTACAAGGATTGTGAAATTTATCACACCAACATTTAAACTCATTATAAAAGTCGGTTTGTAGACCCAAGAGACAGACACTATATCATTTGAGACCAAGTTTTGAATTTGGATATCCAAAAGAATATTATTTCAGCACAGATCAAGTTTTGGATTATCATTAAATACATTCTTATTCCAAATGTATAAAGGAAACTGCAAAACTGTCTTTCTCTGGAGCATTTGAGATCTTGCTTTCCAGCTTTTCATTAGTTTGGCTCAAATAAACTCATATGAAAATAATAAAAAAAAAGGATGAATTCTGGGTTGGGACCTAGGAACTGGCTTACCTTTAAAACCCAAGTGTATTTTGTATTTCATGGGACTCTTTCAAGCTTACACCTTTTCCATGCATTCAGTGTATTGTAACAATGCCTTTTCTTTAAATGATGTCATCTTTGAGTTTATTGACCATGATATGCAGCTGCCCATGCCACATCCCTGGGATCACTGAATATGTTATATTTCATGGCAAAAGAAACTTTTGAATATATAATTCAGGTCATGGGACTTAAAATAGCTTACTGTACCCTGGGTTATCTGGGAAGGGCCGATCTAATCACAGGAGTCCTTAAAATCAGAGAACTTTCTCTACTGAAGTCAGGCAGGTGGCAGAAGGGTAGGTCAGGGAGATTCAAACTGTGAGAAGGACTTGGCTTGATGTGGCTGGCTCAGAGATGGAGGGGGCCCGGGCCTCAGTCCTACAGCCGTGCTGGGGAGAAATTATCCTGTACCGTAAGGTTCTTCTCGCTGTATTAATAATGAAATTAACATGACACAGATTAGCAGGAGAAAATCAAATTGAAGTTTATTAATGTGTATACCTTCTGTATACATGGGAGAGCCCCAGGAACACTGAGTTAACTCACCAACAGAGTAGATGCCATTGCCTTGTCATACCACCGTCAGCAATGTTGGCCAGGGAGAGTCAGTTAGGGGAGGTTACCAGGAAAAGCACAGTAAACGAAAGTAAGGTTGTCATGCAGAGTTCAGTCCAGGGCCTTCTCCACTGGTAGTGAAAGCAAGCCTGGTATAGTGAGATAAACACCCTTAAAGATGGAGACTTCCCTTGTAAATGTAAATGTCCTTTACAGAGAGCACCTTACTCTTGGCATCCAGAGCTTCTCCCAAGTTGTCTGGCTCTTCAAATTGGTCAGCCTAAAATAATCAATATTCTAAACATGCATATGTTGGGATTGCAAACTGCTCCCCTTCAACCATCAAAGCTGAGTTCTGAATGAGCGTGGAAGTAGACTCTCACACTTCAGTACGAAGGGCTGTCCTGCCCACACCTTGTGTTTGGTGTTGGGAACTCTGAGTGGAGAATCCTGTCATGCCCTGCTGGATTTCTGACCCGCAGAAACTGTGAGACAAATGGGTGTTGTGTTAAACTACTATTCCAGCCAATGAGATGCAGTCAGAAATGTGAGGTGCACTTTCAGAAAGTGTCCTTAAAGAAAAGAGGTGTGGCTTTTTTTTTTCACTCCTTCCTGGGGCTGTAAGGCTCATCATGTAAAGGCTGAACTCAAGGAGCCATCCTGTCAGGAGGTGATGTGCTACAGATGGTAAACACAGGGAAGAGAAACTGGGCTGCGATGCTCATAAAACTACTGCAATATTATGACTTATAAGAAGATGTACTTGGCCATTCAGATGGCCAAAATATATTTCTCAGATATATTTGGTCTTCCTCCACAATTTTTGGCTCATAGCTCCTGAAACCTGTAGAATTTCCTAAGTGTTGAGACCGAAAAAGGCGTCTTCTGTTATTTAATGAAATGACTTTGGAAAGCACTTATGGGGGCTGGTTGCTGATGGAGTCAACTAAAGGATGGCTGGAACTTTCAGTCACATCATGCACTCATTCTACCCTTGGGGAGGGGAGCGGGACTAAAGTTGAATCAATTGTCAGTGACCCAATTAAACATGCCTCTGTAATGAAGCTTTCAAAAATCCCCAAAGGACAGGGTTCAGAGGGCTTCCGGGTTGGTGAGCACATGATCTGGGGGAGTGGCACCTGGAGAGGGCTTGGAATCTCCGTGCCCTTTCCCTGTGCCTTGCCCTGTGCATCTCTTCCATCTGGCTGTTCCTGAGTCTTTTGATAATAAACTGGTGATGCAGCAAGTAAGTAACATGCTTCTCTGAGTTCTAGGAGCCTCTCTAGCAAAGTAATTGAACCCAAGGAGGGGGTAGCTGGTGACCAGGGAAAAATTCTGAGACAGTCTAAATTAAAGCTACAGTGCCAGAGAGTGAAAGAGACAGTGCAATTCCTGTTAGTTGCTGTGTGACAAAAGACTGGTCACATTCTTGTACATCTGTTGGAATTTAGGATTAATTTCCAGGTAGCTATTTCTGTGATTATCCAAGAGAGAATAGCAGGGTACCATCAAACCCCAGGAGACTTTGCTTCTTCTTTGCACTTGAGCTTTACAGACTCTTGCACCCCTCCAAGAACTAGCCCCACCTCACCTTCTCCAAGTCCTTTGTGCATAGAGAATGTAAATTCTTTCAGAATGGGCTTACAGCTTTCTCCCCCATACCTGATGTAAAAAACACTTGCAAAACTCCTGGACGTCAGACACGTTAACTTTTGTACTTAGCCATGCAGTGGTTTAGATTCCATGCCCCAAGACCAGTTGTAGTCTTCTTCTTCTCCTCCCTTCCCTCTCTCACCCCTCCCCCTTCTCCTCCCCCTCCCCCTTCTTCTTCTTCCTCTTCCTCTTCCTCCTCCCCTTCTTCTTCTCCTCCTCCTTCTTCTTCTCCTCCTCCTCCCCCTCCCCCTTGTCCTTCTAGCAACAGCCTAATAAACCCTTTCTTTTAGAAAACCCAGCTATGGAAGTTAAAATTTTTTATTTAACACTGGAACCCAGCCAGTCAATCAGAGGCTCGGGGAACAGCCTAGACTTGAAACTGGTGTTTGAACTGAGTTGCTGAGGAGTGGGGTCGCTGGAACCTCTAATCTATAGGCAGTTGATCAGAAGTATATTTAACAGCCTGGGTTTTCCACTGGGGTCTGAAGCGAAGAGGGTTGGGGTGTAGGACAAATCCTTAACCTGTAGAATCTGATGCAAAATCCAGGCAGGTAGTGTCAGAATTGTGTTGAACTGAGTCAAAATCTTGGATATCCTGCTGGTGTCTGAGCATTGCTTGGCATTTTGTGAAAAGTACCCCCTCCCCTCCACACACAGTAGAATTGAATACAGGAACCCAAAAGAACTGCCATCCATCCCTGGACTCTGTCTGCAGATTCTTCTATGTGAGGCAGAAATAATCTACCTTATGTAAGCCATTCTTATTTTGGGCTTTACTGTTACTGTAATCTCATTTTAATTAGTTGGTAATATAGAGGTTCCCTTTCCCAAGAGATGAAGGATCAAGTCTGAGCAGCGAGCAGTTATCTGTTGGGCTTTCTTTCTTCCTAGCTGTAATATATGGCCAGATGGTGCCAATCAGTCTCTTTCACTCTTGGTACAGTTCCAACGTTTTTCTGGAATTACTCACAGCTCTCTATATCCACCCCTCCCTGCTTATACAGATGAGGAAAAGTAAGTGTAACTTATGAATAGTTAAAATACCTACTATATTTATATTCTTCTATTTGTCAAAATTAACTAAAAATATCCAATATATTCGTTCTTCTTCACTCAGCATATGAACTGCCTTTTTGCATGCTTCATAGTGACTTTTTCCTTTTGGAGTATCACTAGAGTCATACATTTAAAAAAATCACCTTCTTCCAATTAAGTACATTATTTTTGCTTTTGATTGCCAAATTGCCACAGAATGTCAGATGGGAGTCTTTTAAAATTGGTCCCTTTGTCTTTTCACTCTCCCCTATACATTTAGAAAAGTATCCTTGCTTATTGTCATCAACAACATGTTCCAGGCCTAGAATTATCTGGGACATGGAGATATTCTCCTAGGAAACCCGAGTCCTTCTAAAGGTGAATAATGTTTGAGGTAAAGATCCAGGTGCTAAGAATACCTATCAGAATTTTTCCTAATGTTGTATCTATGCTACTTTAGTGATAGTTTGAAAAATTGTTTCTTTTGCAAACCACAAATTTACATTGGTATTTCCTACTTAACTCAAGCATTACTAAATCCTTTTTTATTTGACTCTAATGTACAGTTTTATAGTCTCTCTGACATACCTGGTGGTATCCTGACCCAAATTCTAATGGTATCTTCTGTCTTGAGTGATCTGATAATGTCTCATCAACGATAATTCTCTGGTTGCTTTATTGATTGAGTCACCCATGCTGGGCCAATGGGACAGGGAGGTAAGGCAGTTTATAATACTTGCAGGAGATTGGTTGAAGGGATGAATTATTGAATTCAAGGTAATAGCAAGTTTAAGACAGCACAGATCAGGGGAAAGAAGAGAGGCAGTGGGACAGTCTAGAACAGGTTCACTGCAGGTAACTGAGAACTGGGGGAAGGAGGCGATGGTCAGAGCAGGGAGTGATCGAAGTGAAGACTGCAAAGGTGGAACTCTTAGAAGGTGGCTGTGGGCATTGATGTGTTCCATGCCTGGAGATCTACACTTGCTCACATGTGATCTTCTACCTACAGCTGCCCAAGGAAGTGCTGTACACCTGTTCTCAGCTGGTACAAACAAACATACACACCCCATGTCTCAGCTGGGGAAGTGAGAGCCAGAGTCCATTTGGGACCTGGTACAGATGAACACCCAGGTTCACTGCCTGCTGGTTGCCCCAGTGTACATGAAAAATGTGTACCTTGCTCAGGCTGGTCACATGTTCCCTTCCTATCCTATCAGCTATAGGCTCTGGGCTGCTCAGTGGCCCTCCCCACACTTCTACTGGTGGCTGAGCCTCCTGCCATAGTCCATATGGGCTGGCTCAACTCCTGACTGTGCTGGCCGAGATCCACAATGCTGGCACTCCTCACAGGAAGGAGCCTGCAGGGCATGCTGAGCCTGGTCCATCTGGGCCCTTGTGGGGGCCTGTCAAGCTCACCTGCCCACCTGTTTCCAAGTAGCTCTGAGCCAGAAGCTGGGGGTGGGGTAGAAGAAGGAAGAACAAAGTCTGCAAAGTATGGCAGGACTCTTTACCTGCCAAATCCTGCCCTCATCCTAGGGCTGCAGACAAAGAGATGCAGTGAGAGACTGTGAGGGCATTTGGGATGGGGGAGGGGTTAAGAGGGGCCAGGTCCTGGGATGCCACAGCTCTGCTCATCACCTTAGGTGTTTGGCACATGGTCCCATGCAAGAAGCTGAAATACAAACAGCCAGAGGGAACCTCTCTCCGACCTCAAAGATGTTGCTTTTGGGGCAGGAGGGGAGAGGGCATAGGCCAGACGTCAGGGGCTAGATTCCTGTCTTTGAAAGGCATGAGCCCTCAGAGTGGAAAGATGAGGAAGCCAGAGAAGCTTGAATATTTCCAGCCACCCAGCAGGTTCCCCCGACGTAGGCGCAGAGACACCCTGTCCCCAGGGTCCAGGGGTAGTAGCACTGAGCTGGTGGCTGCCTCTCGGGTCACGTCAGGGTCATTGGCAAAGGCTGAGATGACGGGCCATGTGTTCAGCATCAAGCTTACCTGGGAAGGGAACCTAGTTAGCATTTCTCCCCAGACCTTGTCCTAGGACCCCATGTTTCTGAGGATTGCCCTACTTCTCCCCAGCCCCAGAGGGATACCCTGTAATCTGGGAACCTGGAGCTCATGCACTCTCCTGGGATAGCTGAGGGGTGGCCAGTGTTGGACTCTGCAGGTCCTTCACATTCTGCTAAGCAGGCCCTTTCCTTCCTCGCTCCTGGGTCCCCAGGACACAGGCCAATGAAGGGTCTGCCCAGGATTTAGCTGGGCTTCGCTTATTCCTCCCTCCACCCAACCTGGGACAGGGACAGGGCCTAGCGCTCAGATCACCTGGACGGTTTGGCGGTTGTACACCTTCACCACATGGAACCGGAAGCTGTAGACACCCCGGACAGGGGCCACGAAGGAGCCCGAGGCCCGATCAAAGCCACCGCCCTCATTCACCAAGACCTAGGGGAAGCAGACCCTGCTGAGTGGGCTGGGGATACCTGGGGCTCAGGGAAACTGCTGGGTTAGGAGATGGGACAGTGAGTAAGGAAAATAAGGGGTAGCAAGTAGCTGCCAACAGGAGGAATGCACAGATTCAAAAGAAGTACTGAGAAAGGGCAAGGAGGAGTATGGGTAGGAGTGAAGGGAAAGGAGATGGGCAGGGAGATTGGGGGCAACTGGCCACAGCACAGTGGGCTCAGATTTACCCCAGGCCCTTGCAGTGCAGGGGGTTACCTGGTCAAAGTAGATGGCCCCATTGGTGCCGTTGCTGATCTCCCCTGCAGGCTCATGGTGGTGGCTTCGGACTGCAGCAAATGCCACTCTTCCAGGAGGTGCTTCTCCCAGAGCTGCTCCCCCGGCTCCCCCTGCAGCAGCTCTGCCAGGCTCACAGACCACCAGGCACTCACCCTCCAGGAGGACAGGCTCTGCTCCCTCCTGGGCCCATCCGGTCCCCAGGGCCAGAATCATCAGGGCCATGGGCAATCTGGAGTTGAGTGTGAGACCTGGTAGCCAGAGACGTGGTAGCCAGTGCTGCGTTGCTCCCAGCATGGCTGAGTGGCTCTGACTCACAAGTCTTCCTGTCTTCTTGTCCACCTTTCTGCTTCTTTCAGTTTCTGCCCTCCCTCAGACGCTCAACTCCCCTCACCCTGCTTCTCAGCCCTCTCTCGGTGTCTCACTGTCACCTGGTCTCAGCGTCTCCCTCTCCATACCTCTCTGTGCACCACAACTCTGTCCTGCTTCTCACTCCTGCTGTCACTGCAGTTCCCTCCTCTTTGGCAGGGCACAAAATGACAGCAGTTGGGCTCTGGGAGGGAGAGGAGAGATGAAGCAGCCCAGTAGGAAGGCTACAGCCAGAATCCCAGGACAGCCCCTGGAGAGAGTACTGAAGGCTGGAACTGGGACCTCGGAGATAGGGTGTGTGTGTGTGTATGTGCACAAGACAGCGCCTATAGCCCTTCGTCTCATCCTTCCCCTCTTCAAAGGCCCTCACACGTCCACAGCACTCTGAGTGGCATCTTTTTTCATTGTTAGAAAGGAAAGCCCTTGTCTTTTTACAACAATTCTTTTTGGTAGGAAAGTGCTTGGATCAGTCACTTTTCCTCCTTGGCCTTCCAATAGCTTCATTCAAAGGGACTGGATTAGTCCCTTTAAGGCTTTCTTCACTTCTGACTCTTATGAGTGGTCCCTGTTTTCCAGGTACTACGGAGAATGGGCAAGAACCTAGAGGAATCCGAAGCGACCGTAGGGAAACCCAGTGAACTGCGGGCAAGTGGGCGGGGTCGAGGCCGGGGGAGGGGCCGAGAGCTGGGAGGAGACTGGCGGGCGTGGGGAGCGCTCCGCGGGGCGCCGTGCGGCCCCAGTCCGGGGGAGGAGCTCGGTTGACTCCGCCCCCGGCCAGGAAGTGACTCCAAAAACAGTTCGAGATGTGAAGAGAGGTCCCTGTTGGGTGAGAAATCCGGGAAGGCCCGCCCAGATTCGAGCCCCTCCAGCCCCCAGTCTTACTCCGCTGGGCCCGGGCCGGGGGCGCAGGCGAAGTTGGGGCCGACGTACACCTAGAGACACCGGCTGAAGAGGACCCAACGGGTGGCCGAGGCGGGTAGAGGTGGAAGTCGGAGGCCTCAGCGCAGTGCGTGGCTGGGGGCGGCGGCCGCCAGAGGCTGTAGGCAGGGCTCAGTCAGGCCCCTGGGCCCCGGGTGGGGCGCGTGGCGCAACCTAGGGGGTGGCAGCGGACGCGGAGGGAAGGGGGGGGGGATGAGAGTGGCTAGAACCTTGGAACTGGCAGGCGAGGGACTCCAGAGTACAGCGCAGTTCAAGCCTTGGTGAGGATCCATTTTAAAGAGGACGTCTTGGACCCGGTGATTGCAGAGTCCCCCCCGAGGAGAGGGACTCTTTCGTCACCCGTCCACCCTTTTTGGACCAGGCCAAGCTGGAGCCGCCCCCGCCCCCACCCCAGGGCTGTGGTCATTCTTTTACAAAGCCCAGACGCCCATCCCAGAGAGACAGCCTTGTTTATCCATGACGTCCTCTTTGGAGAGAAGGCCCATGCCCTGACATTAATCTGACATTCTCTTTCTACCTCCAAGATGGCCCTAGATCTCCTGGGTTGTTTTTGTCAGATTTGTAACTAGGTGCAACCTGTTGGTTGCTGATGTAGCCCGAGAGACCAAGATTTGGGTTGAGGGGACGGCGAGGCTTTGAGCTGTCTTTCCTACTTCCAGGTCTGGGTGGCCAAGCAGCCATGCCTACCTGGGGGGCTGGCTCCCCGTCCCCTGACCGCTTTGCTGTGTCTTCGGTGGCGGAGGACAAGGTACGGGAGCAGCAACCCCATGTGGAGCGCATCTTCCGCGTGGAGATGAGCGTCCTCCCGAAGGACTGCCCTGAGAACCCTCACATCTGGCTGCAGCTGGAGGGCCCCAAGGAAAACGCTAGCAGAGCCAAGGTGAACGCTCCCTTCCTGACCCTTCTGGGAACAATGACTCCCTCCCTCTCTCAGAGGCCTGGGAGAAGAGGGGCTGGGAAGGATCTCTACCATTGTTGGTCTCATGGCAACCTCAGTGGCCCTGGGCTGTGAGACACTCTCCAACTTTTTGTTGGTTTGGAGTTTTGGTTTTATTTCTGCTGTGATGACCTAGGTTCTGCCAGGGCTTGGAGACAAGCGATTCATTTCAAACGAGTGAGTGCTCTTTGGGACAGTAGAGAAAATCCAGTTGGGCAAGCAGGCCCCACCAAGGAATTCACTGTATAGAGGCTCGGCCTGGGTTCCAGTACAGCTCTATCGCCTACTAGTGCTGTGACCTGAGTTTCAGTTCCCTTATCTATAAAATGTGAATAGTAGCAGTGCCTGCCTCTTTGGGCTTATTGTGAATCAGATAAAGCATGAGTTCAGTCAAAGTGGGCAGTAGTGATAATTATGATGGGAATATACCACACACACATATAAATATTTAGAGAGACAATCCTGTTAACTAATTAATTATGATTGTATCTTAACGTCAGTCAAGTTCTAAATGGAAATACTAGCCATGGCTGGCAGCTACAAAGGGAAGGAAGTGAGATTCTTGATCCCTGTTTAACCCCCACCTTTGTCAGGATCTGTGGGGTTCCATTGTCTGCTGAGGCATCCTAGAGCTTAGGGGAGAGCACTGAGCCTGAAGATTCCAGCAGCCTCCTTTTTCTTACCTTTCCCCTTTTTTCCCCTAGGAGTACCTGAAGGGTCTCTGCAGCCCGGAGTTGCAGGATGAAATCCACTACCCACCGAAACTGCACTGCATCTTCCTGGGGGCCCAAGGCCTCTTTCTTGATTGCTTGGCTTGGAGCACCTCAGCCCACCTGGTACCTGGGGCGCCTGGCTCACTGATGGTCAGTGGCCTGACGGAGGCCTTCGTCATGGCTCAGAGCCGAGTGGAGGAGCTGGTAGAGCGGCTGAGCTGGGACTTGCAGCCAGGGTCATCTGCTGGAGCCTCTCAGTGTGCTGGAGTGCTGAGAGACTTCTGTGCCCTGCTGCAGCCCCCAGGGGATGTCCACCGAGAGGCCCTACTGCAGCTGCCCCTAGCCGTCCAGGAGGAACTGCTGAGCCTGGTGCAGGAGGCATCCAGGGGGCAGGGGCCCCAAGGGCTTCCTTCCTGGGAGGGGGGGAACCCAGGCCTGCTGGGTGCTCCACACCAGGGAGTCAGAGCTCCCCTGAGTGAAGGCAGGGGGTCCTTAGACACTGGGCCTACAGGGTGGCAAGAGTCAAGGGGAGAGGGACATGCTATGGAGAAGCAGGGAGGGAAGCAGGGTGGTCCCAGGGAGATGGATTTGGGATGGAAGGAGCTGCCTGGGGCAGAGGCCTGGGAGAAAGAAGTGACCTTCAGGTCACAGTTAGGGGGAGGAGAGGCAGGGCAGGAAGGGCTCCTGAAGGGGAAGGCCCTGGGGAAGGAGGAGATGCCTCAGGAAAGAGGAAGGTTCTGTATACAGGGCGAGCCTCCTGGTGCCCAGGGTCCCTGTCAGAGGGCAGCTCAGCTCCGGGGAGCCTCTCTCCTCCAGCGGCTCCATAACGGGGAAGCCTCACCTCCCAGGGTGCCTAGCCCCCCGCCTGCACCTGAACCCCCGTGGTACTGTGGAGACCGAGGAGACAGGGGAGACAGGCAGCAGGTTGTGGCTCGAGGTCGCGGGTCTCCATGGAAACGAGGCACCCGGGGGGGCAACTTGGTGACTGGCACACAGCGTTTCCAGGAGGCCCTACAGGACCCTTTTACCCTGTGCCTTGCCAATGTACCTGGCCAGCCAGACCTCCGCCACATTGTCATTGATGGCAGCAACGTGGCCATGGTGTGAGTACCAGGTGGGGCTGAGGGTCCTGGGGAGGGGGATGAGATGGGCAGTATTGTTCACCTTGGGGACATGTGCTGAGGGGTGAGCATTCCAGCCAGGCTGCCAGGCCCTCTGCTGGGGCCCCAGAGTGCCGACCCCTTCCCACTGCAGGCATGGCCTCCAGCACTACTTCTCCAGCCGGGGCATTGCCATTGCTGTGCAGTACTTCTGGGACCGTGGCCATCGGGACATCACTGTCTTTGTGCCTCAGTGGCGCTTCAGCAAGGATGCCAAGGTCAGAGGTGAGTTGGGCCTTGTCTTTTTTGTGTCCTGGGATAGACCCTGCTTCTGCATTGAGAATAACCACGTTGTGCTCCTCTGTTTCTAGAGGGTCACTTCCTGCAAAAGCTCTACTCCCTCAGTCTGCTCTCCCTCACTCCCTCCCGAGTCATGGATGGCAAGAGGATCTCCTCCTATGATGACAGGTACTTGCTTCTTTCCTGGACCCTTCAAGGAGCTCAATGAGAGACAGAAGGAGAGCCAGAAGCTTCTGAACCTTTGTACTGTTTCTAAGCCTGGGAAATGAGCAAAGGGCCAGTTAGTCCACTGTGTGCCTCTGGCTCTATGAGATGAGATGGATGGTAGACAACCGTGTTTACCCATTCATCATTCATTTTCTATTCACCAAACTAAATAATGCTTTGCATTTATATAGCACCTTACTGTCTAGCACATACTAATTTAATGGGAAGATGGGAAAGCTGATGACATGAATAACAAATGCCTTCTTACAACCTAAATTTCCAAACAAGTGGAGAAATTTCTCAGCATTCTGGAAAAACCAGAGTCAGTGTTCCAAATACCAAGTCAAGTGAAGAAATACAATCCATGCATAATAACATAAAACAAAATGTAAATAAAACATGGTATAATAGAGAGATCACTGGAGCTGGAATTGGATGATCTGACTTGGGGCCCCAAGTTGCACTGCTCATAGACTCTGACTGTGGACCAGTCTGTTGCTGAAGTAACCTCTTGTCTCAGGGTCCTCTTCCATTCATTCATGCGCCCTGTGACTCTCTAAAAAAACATAAGTCATGTGCTTTTTTCACTCAAGGTGCTAGGCAGAATACAGGATAGTGTTTAACTGTTTATGAACCCACTCAGGTGTGGCAGAGGGTTTTGTCTCTGTGGTACAGAAATGGAGCTGAGGGTAAGGGTGGTTAACTCTCTTGGGTGAAGTCTATTAAGTGCCAGAGGAAAAATGAGAATTTAAAGCTGTGTCCTGGGATAGACCCCGCTCTACTGTACCTTGCAGGCAACTGCATTGTGCTCCTGTTTCTAGAGGATCACTTCCTCTGGAAACAGGGTGGGAAATGAGCAGATTTTAAAAGCCACTTAAACAGTTAAAAATGTTTACAATGAAAGTTCTTGATTCTCTTAGTATTTTCAGTTTCAAATAAAAAACTAGTTTCCATACCACAGTGATTATATATTTCATCTTTTCAAGTACTGAACTTTTTCTCCCTAACAAGTAAATGGTATTCTACAAAAAGGCAGTTCCCTGTGTCCCAATGCTATTGTTTTATATCTAGATTTCACAGATTATCTAAGATGTGGAAGCTTCTTTTGTACCAGCATTTACATAGAACTGAAGCTGAAGGTTGAGTCATTTGCTATGAATTTTAAAGGTGTGTGTGTGTACAGCTGTGTAGGTCCTGATAGGCTGACAGCACAACATGAACTTGGAGTTTTGCCTAGTTACAGTGACTAACAGTCGTGCACAGCACAGGTGTACTGGGTGAATACTGTCGAACACCGTGTGATGTAACTCAGTAATGGTGAATGTGCTTAGCCTGAAAAGTTTGTATTCTACATGACACCATAAGCAATTGTACATCATCTCCTTAATTTGTTTCCCAGACAGAAACTCAGAACCCGATATCTGTCACCTCAAATCCTAATTGCTAGTCCCCTCAACACCACACTGTCTTCCAAATACTTACTGCCCACTTTTTGCTAGGTGTGTTGCTTTCAGAAAGAGATGGAAATGTTGGGAATTTTATTTCAAAGAGCCAAAAGAAACTATAAACCAAACACTTCAGTAACCTGGAGGAAGGGGAAACTGCTTCTGGCTGGGGTTTGTGGGAAGGGAGAGATTTGTGTTTTTCGATGCTAGAGAAGGATGATGGGATGGGCTGGATCTCCGGGTTTCTAAATGTGTTTAAAAAGATCCTCACCCACCTCTTCATGAACCCTCCTCCAGTTCCATGGAGTCTGGATTACTCGGGTGGAGCCCAGGCATCTCTTTTTTAAAGTTATTCTGGTGAATCTGTTCATCAGTAGAGTTTGGGATCACTTTGCAGAAGGAGGGAATAGTTTGAGAAACATGAAGTCAGAGAGCATGTTTGAAGAACAGGATATAATGTGATCATTGATTTGGCAGTAGCTGAGAGTACCTTTGGGAATACCGGGAGAGATAAGGCCATGAAGGGGACTGGATCAAGGTTCCAGATGGGTTGGCTGCCAGGCCTGGGCATGTGGACTTTCTTCGGGAAGTAAAGGGCAAGTATAGAAGAATGTTGTGTGGCTGCGGAGCATGTCCCCCTTTTGGGGGAGGGCAGGAGAAACTGGAAGGTGGTAAATGGCGGGGGGCAGGGACCCCCTTATCAGTATCTCAGCTGCAGTGTCTGAATAGCTGAGGTGGTAGTGGTGGAACTGGAAAGGAAGGGGACAGAATGGAAGGCTTTTCAGAGGAAAAACATGATGGATTTGTGACCAATTGCTGATGGATTTGTAGGGTGCTGTAGAGGGAAAAATACAGAACCAGGGCTAGATCTTACTGTCTTCCTAACGAAGCACTAAGTATTGGGTGGAGGATTGTGGTGAGTGGAGGGCATGTCCTTGGGATTCCACACTGGATTCATCTTTGTTTTCTCTCTAACCCATGACACTTGTATCCAGTCCGTCTCCTGGTGGCTGGTCAAGATGAGGGGGGCAGGGAGGGGTAGATCTCCATCACCAGAAGTAGGTCATGGGAGTTGATAGCACTCTTTGGGGTTGAGGCTTTGGAGAATTCCAGAATGTTGTCGTGGTTTCCGAGACAGGTTCATGGTGAAGCTGGCTGAAGAGACTGATGGGATCATTGTCTCTAACGACCAGTTCCGGGACCTGGCGGAGGAGTCGGAGAAGTGGATGGCAATCATCAGAGAGCGGTGAGGGGCATCCCCTGAGAAAAGGGCTTGGACTCAGACCTTTCTCTAAAAGCAGTTCTGCACTGCCACCGGGTGAGGACTCTGGAAATGGCCGTGACACTGGCTTGAAGGATGGTAGCTTACAGCTGCTGGTGGGCTTAGTCTCAGCTGTTTGGGAGATGAGCAGGGGCCCCTCTGTGACCATTACATTTTCTGTCCCCATCCAGCCTGCTGCCCTTCACTTTCGTGGGAAACCTCTTCATGGTCCCTGACGACCCACTGGGGCGAAATGGCCCCATGCTGGATGAGTTCCTGAAGAAGCCAGTCAGGTAATGCCCCAGTCTGTCCTAGGCAGGCCCCAGCCCTCGCCCCCTTTCTGCAGGGGCCTTGCAGACCTGGAGACTTGGTAGAAGTGTGACCTCAGTCTGGGCCAGCTTAATTCTGTAGTGGTTTAGGTTGCCTTGGGCCAGGCCCTAACGGCTTCCCTGGAAACCCTGACACAGACCCTCCAATCTGGGAGGGAAGCTCCTGTTTCCTGTTTCCCCTAGTCAGTTTTTGCTGGAGTTATTTGGAACATGGTTGCTTTTACTTATAGCCACTTGTATTCAGCACTCCCTCTGCTGGGCCATTAAGTAAGTGAGTAATGTATTAGACACGAACTAGATTATAATAGTGGCAAGATTCCCTTTCCTGGTTTCAAAGGAACTTCCCTTCTCCCCTTCAGGAGTGGGTTGATACTGCCGCTTAGTGGTCAGCTTGGGGAACTTCAGAGCCAGGAACAGGCAGGGCAGTTAAGAGCTGTGGAATGCTGGGAGGCCCCCTGAGTTCTAACTTCTCTCCAGGACGCACATCAGCTCCTCTCTTCGCTCTGCTTCTTCCCAGGGCACAGGGGTCTTCTAAGGCTCAGCTTCCTTCCAGGGGCTTCACAGAACACGGTAATCAGCAGCAGGGGAGAGAAGAGGAGGAGAAAGGCAGTATTCGGAAGACCCGGGAGACAGAGAGGCTCCGGCGCCAGCTGCTGGAAGTGTTTTGGGGCCAGGATCACAAGGTGGACTTCATCCTGCAGCGGGAGCCCTATTGCCGGGACATCAACCAGCTCTCTGAGGCCCTGCTCAGTCTCAACTTCTGAGCCTCGCCAGCCCGAGTGGCTGTCTCCCCATCAGCATCAGCCTTGCCCAGCTTAGCCTCTTCTGTGAAGATCCCCGTGATGCTCAGACCCTGACCTAGACCCACTCTGAGTTGGTGCCTTAAGTCAGGGAAGGACTGAGAAAGAGCATTCCAATGTTCTTGCCTGGGGCACTTTGGGGACAGGTCCATAAAGTGACCTGATCTCCTCTTGAGGCAGGACCTCAACCAGCTCTCAAGAGGTTCTGTTCAGCTCCAGCTCCTCAACTGTAGCACAGGGTTTCTGTTGGGAGTGGGGGCTGCCAGAAAGAGTAGGTCCTGGAGATTGGGACTGCCAGCTCCTCCTTGAAGCTGAGTTGGGGATGGAAGCTGGAGTGCGCAGGAGGGGAATGAAACAGGTGGCAAGAAAGCTGAGCCTTTCCTACCCCTGGCTGCTGCTCTGGATAGCCAGAGGACAGGATGCTTCCCAGGCCTGGCAGGGCTCCTGGGAGCCTTGAAGGGAGTGCTGGGCCCTGGAAAGGCTAGTGTGACGGGGTCTGGGTCACAGTGGTGCAGCAGGGAGCTGGTGGGAAAGGTAGAGGAAGACTTGGCTTCTGGTCTCAGCTGTGCCTGTCTGTGACCTTGAATGAGCTACTTGGCCTTTACTTCTGCCTTTAAATCAGATGTAAAAATGCCTGTTGGGAGAAATGAGAACATGGAGGAGGGCTCTTTGGAGGAAAAGTACTTGGACCAAGTCTCAGGTGTGTCTGTCTGTGACTGCACAGGCTTCCAAACCAAAACCTCACTTTCAGAGAACTGAGGGTCCTCTGTCCCCAGGGCCTGTGCCCTAGATTTTAGCATTGCACCCTCATGATGTGCCCTATAATGGCTGCGTCCCTTTTGGGCAATCCCCAAATCCACATTTACAAAACAGTTAGTTAGGGGTGACTGTTTGCATTACCAGAATACTCTCAGGGTTCCTCTAAATGGCAGCTCTCCTGTTGCATTCGTGTTGTTTACAGATTGACGAATGTGTCAGAAAGTCCCCTGTTCAGTGCACGCGTGGTGTTGTGAACTCAATGGAAGCCATGCTCTGCAATGACAATGTGATCTAACCCTAGTGTTTTCTCTACAGAACACATGTTGCATAAAGCGAGGCCCACTTATGCTTTGTGTGAGTATATATATATATATATATATATATATATATAGGGGGTTATACAGGTTGTATATAGATGAGCTAATTATCTGGAAAATGAAAACTGAAGAATTATTAGAATACGGAGATTCAGACCAACTGCCATCCTGTTGGAACATTCTGCCCTGATTCCTACAGGTCATTGTCCTGTATCGGCTTGAAGTCCTCTCGTGCCAGGGACTGACTGCTTCCAAGTAGTGCTTCCTCTAGTGCAGCCCTGATTCATGCTTCTGTCTTTGAGGCTGGTCATTCCTCCAGGAACAATACTAGGCTGGCCAACTTCCTAGAGTCCAAGACTGGATAAAGAGGAGGGACAGGGACCGCAGGGTTCTGTGTTGTCTGGGCCCTTGGGTAAGCCCCTGGACAGGATCCTTTTCGGGCTCTGGCTTCTGCTACCTGAGCAGCACTGGGAGCTGAAGGCTGCCACCCCAGTTCCTCATTCCAGCAACTAGTGGGAGCTGAGTGGTGATGGGTGGTCTCTGGGTCCTACTGTCTGCCCCTCTTCCCTGTTGTGATGTGTACCGCTAGACCTAGTCAGGGAGGTAGGTGACAGGGACTCAAAGTCCCTCTGTAATAAAGGTGGTTAATATGGCCCCAGCTGGGGGCCTAGAGGAACTACTGGTCAAGTTGTGGCAGGTATCAGGGTAGGTAAACAGGGAGAGGGTCTTAAATGAACACTTGGGGTTTCTTTTTACCTGTTAGGGCTGTTTACAGTTTGGGGTACGTTCCTTGCCCCTTTCACTTTCAGCGATGGTGGGTGTGAGGTAGACCAGAGGTTTCTTTCCTTTTGTGCCTGGGACTCCAGCTGACTGAGTGGCCTCAATCAGATGTGAGGACAGTCCGAAGCTTCTTACAGACAGGGTTGTTGGCTTACTCCCGCAGCTTGTTGAACTGAGACCATTATGTGATCGTTTTATTAATTCACTGCCGTTCAGCAGCACACCGAAGGCTGTCCTAGACTTGGGTCTCACCTCTTCCTCTGCTGGCATCCTAATGGTACCATGTGAACAAGTATGCAGGGTGACCACAGAACCCATTGGAAATGGATCATCACCTCTCTTGTGTTCCAGTGTCTGCCATCATCATAATCTCATGCCCCAAATTTGTTACCAGCTCTTTGGAGGGAACAAAAAGGGAGGTAATTCCCATTGTAACTTTAAAAACCCCACATAGGGGGTCTTCAAGGGTGACACTCCTTGAGATAAACTCAAGGAGAATCTAGGCTAAAGAGATGAACCAAAACCAATGAGATAACTTATCTTTATTGCCTGAACTGTAGAGCATTCACTACACAGCAAAAGAGAAATGGGGCAGGAATGGGTTATGTAGGGGTACTGAATTTGGAGACTCTCACAAGGAGTTGAAGATGTTACGGTCCCAACCTGATGAGACTGCACTCTTGAAACAGTGGACAGGCAAAGTGCAGCAACAGAATAATGAGAAAGGACAGGGAGGAGAGGAATCCCCAAGAACCAGATGGGCTCACATGGCAAGCAGAATACTTCATCCTCCTCAGTCCCTACCTGGGAAGCCTCTGTTGAGGGCCAGGCTGTGGGCTCTGCCATGAACTTTCTTGCTTAGGCTATGACTTCCTTCAGTGCAGGCCCCAGCTCTGGGAAGGAATACTGGTAGCCAGTGGCCAGTGTCCGCCGTGGGATCACCTTCTGGCCCTCCAGCAGCATGATGGCACGCTCTCGCCCAAAGACAGCTTGCACGATGGTGCTAGGGAGAGGGATGAAGGCTGGGCGGCCTAGGGCTGTGCCCAAGGCCTGAGCAAACTCAGCATTTGTAGTGCTATAGGCTGGAGCCACGCCGTTCAGGACACCCTGCACATGGCTGGCTTCAATAGCATGGGCCAGGATTCCTACCAGGTCCCCAATGTGAATCCAGGGGAAGAACTGTTGGCCGGAGCCGATGGGGCCCCCCAGGCCCAGGCGGAAGGGTAGCAGCATGTGACCAATGGCACCGCCCCCACGGCCCAGCACAACCCCTAGAACAGGCAAGAAGGATGGTACAGGGGGACCCCTCAGCTTCCAGGCAGCCTCACTGTTCCTTCCATATCCCCTTCCTCACTCTTTTCCTTTGCTGGCTTAGCTCTGTAGCAGTCCAGGGGTATGGCTGTCTTGGGGACTTCCCATCCTCTCATCTGCAGGTTGGCCAGAAGTGGTGGCATCCTCACCTCAGTAAGCTCTGCTCCCCTTACCCTCCAACTCCCCCAGGAGAGAGAACACATTCCAACCCCTCCTGATAGGCAGGCCCCTTGTTCTCACCAGAGCGTACCACCACCTGGCGTGTAGAATCTCCAGGAAGCCTGGCTGCAGCTTCCCATTTGGTTACGAGATTGGAGAAAAAGTCAAAATCCCCTCCTGGGCTGTCCTCATCATACTCAGCGGTCAGGCTGGGCTGGTAGTAAGCTGCCAGTGGGAGAGCACTTGTTTGCCGTGGCTGGTCCTTTGCAGTGAAGGGCCCCGTTGGCCTAACCCCCCTTGGCCTTTGGGGTCTTCCCATGGGATGGAGATGCAGATATTTTTCCCTTGAGTGATACCATTAGCTGACTTGTTCCTGCCCTGGAGTAACTTATTTTTTGCTGCTGGGCTAAGCTGAGAAACTGATAGAGGGCTGTGGTTCAGAATAAATACATGGGTGCTAGGCTGAGTTTTTTAAATCTCAGCTCCACTGCTTTAACTACAACTTTAGGCAAGTTACATAACCTCTGCAAAATCTGTACACCATTAAAAGGGGAACAATCGTCTACCTCAGAGTTCTTGTGAGGATTAAATGCTGCAATATGTGTAAAACACTCAGTGGCTGGTATTTATGCCGAAATTGTTTGCAATTATTTTGTCCCCCAAAATACAAGAATCAGAAATTCTATTCCTAAAGAACTTTGCTGTGAGAAGCAAGGGACCTGGAGTAGGTGGATTTTTTCCTGGCACTGGGGTAGCACCATTCTACCCTCTTTCTCTGAGGGTCCCTGTTTCTCAGCAAAAGGGCACAAAAGTCAGGAGAAAGATGCATGGATCAAGAGCCTAGGAAGAAGACTTCTGGGAACATATACCTCGAAGGGTATAAGCTACCTCTTCAGTGTGTATTCTCCCCTGGTTAATGTAGGGGCTGGTGATTTGGGGCATACCTACACCAGTGACTAAGACCCAGGCCTGGGGGCGTTGTGGGGCCTTGGTGATGGCTCTCGCCAGCAGGTGGGTGGTCTCCAGGCGGCTGCTGAGAACCTCTTTTTGGAAGGCTTCATTCCACCTGCAGGAGAAACAGGAAATAAGCCACTGAATATGTGCATTGCACATATCCCTTCCTCTGCCTTTCCTTGGGGCCTGTCCATGTCCATTTCTAGTAAAACCCTGCATTGTGGTTTAGAGAAACTGTCCATCTCTCTTGGAGAGGGAAAAGGCTTGTCCTTTTTGGGCATCCTGAGTTATAAGTGAGGACTATAGTCAACTGGCTGTGTGGATAGGAGGGAGGGTGAATGTGGAGGAGTGGGGCAGGATAAGTAATCAAGGATCGGGCAGCTCCATTCTTCACATCTCAGGTCTCATCAGAGTTGTTCCTCTTCTCCTTATGCTCTAGAGGATATCAGTTGTAGGGTCCAGCAGCAACTGACCTTCGAAGAGGGTTGAGAATGTTCTCTCCAGCCAGGTTGACTGCCGCATCGCAGCTAGGCAGCCCCGACGTAGCAAGCTCATCCTGTCAGAGAAAAATTAACAGTGCCAACCTAGCCCTGCGCCGCTGCCAAATCGGGCCTCCTCCCACCCACTAGTTTCCAGAGGGTGGACATACCCATGTGATCCGACCTGGCCCGGGCTTTCGGGAGACCAGAGTCACTTCATGGCCTCTGGCTTTCAGCAGATGGATTAGGGCTGTCCCAATGAAGCCCGTCCCTCCACCTGATCAGAAAATACAAGGTGTTTATCATCCGGGCCGGGGTGCCTACCGTCCCGCATGTGGCTCCATCTGGTGCCATCCCATTTGACCCCAGATTTCTCCCCTCTTTTTCGGCCCCGTCCTTGCCACACACAGGTGACACAGGTCACAGGGATTTGGAAGATTCGGCTTCAGTTAGGAGGATAAGGCCAGATTGCCAGTGCACGAGACAGTGCCCTCCATCGGGGTCCACTTAGCCCTTAACCTCTGGTTCAATCTTTTTTTCATAAACCCATCTCCCATCTCTCCCTCTTTGCCCTCCCTCACCCACGAGCACCCGCATAGCAACCAGGACCTAACGCGCCTGCGCAAGATCGAAACACCCCCCCTTACCCGTTGCGTGTGCGTCCTTCCGGCAGTGGGCTCCAATTGGGAAGTGGGCAGGATTGAGACTAGGCGTGGCACTACCCCACGACCCGGAAGAATTCACAACAAGGGCTGCAAGTGTGTTTCACCCGGAGGTGTGGCCCAGTGTGTGGTGTGTGTGTGTGTGTGGGTGTGTAGGGGCGGCACGGGGAAGAGGGCGTGGTCTGCAAAGAGGTAGGGGGAGGGGCCGAAGAGGGGTGGTGGAATTGGCCCAGAGTCCTGAAACGAAGGGGAGGAAGCAGGAAAATGCTTTTAGTGCAGAAAACACCCTTGACCAAAATCCTGAAGCTGTTCGAACCACCAGGTTCTTAAGGTCCATTCAGCTCGGTGGCTCAGTAATCTAAAAGCATCCGTCCACCGTTACAATGGATTTCTTTTTAACCAGGCTTTTATTTTTTCCTTTCTTGTTCCAGTCCCTTCCTGTTGGCATTTAAACATTCTGTGTCCTCTGCTAATGGCCTCTCTCTGTCTTCGCCTTCATTGCCAAACTTCTAAATGATGGGTGTCCATTTTCTACTTCCTAATTCCCTGTCGTCTGGCTCTGATTTTATCATTAATTGCCTTTCTAGCCAAGATCACCAGTTCCCATGTGTCACCAAATCGAATGCCTACTTTTAAGCCATTTTTCTTGAATTCTGTGTCACTGGACATGTGCTGACTCCTCTGTTACTTTGGAAATGCTCATCTCTTGTCCTCAGTGAAAACCGCACTCTTCTGGCTTCTTCTCTTAGCTCTTTTCAGCCTCTGTTGCTTGCTTAGCCATCTCTAAGCTTTTAAAATGTTGGTATTCCTCAAAGCTGGGTCCTACGACCTACCTCTCTTCCCTCTTTGTGCTTACGCCCAAGCATCTTTGTGGGTGAACTCAGTTACCAGTTTTTCAAGGAAGACTTGCCAAATCTATGCAACTTGAATATCTCCTCTGAGCTCCTGATTCCTGTAAAAACTTCCCACTAAACACCTGTTCTTGAATGTCTGAAACACTGTTGCTTTTACTTACTAAATATCGCCCATCTATTTATCTCTGTCACCACCACTCTCCAAGATATTATCTAAATTTTTGTGTAGATTTCTGCAATAGTTTCCTAATAGGTTTTCCTGCTTCTGCTTGTTTCTCCTCTCTGAAGTAGTCTGCACATTGCAGACTGAATGATCTTTTAAGAACATGTGGGAGGAACACTATGATGGCATATGTGTCCTAAAAAACCCCTTCAATTGCAAAGTTCCTGGATATGCTGGATAAAATTTAGCACATCTCCATTTAAATACATTTGTGGGCTAGCTGGAAAACAAAGGAAAGCCCCAGAGCACAAAAACAAAATGTGCCTTGGGACCAAGGCTGCTTTGTGATTGGTTGTCAGTTTCAGTAACCCAGAGGCCTGGGTGACAGGAGATGATGCCTGGGACCCAAGCGAAACTGGGAATGGGACTCATGCATAAAGTTTTCGGTGGGCTATGTCCACTCAATATCAAAGAACATGATTAGGAAACATGTTTCTATAAGCTTGGCTCTTGGGTAGGATTTGCTGTAAAACAATAACAAATTAGTCTTTTCTGAGAAGTTGTATCCATTGGCCTGCCCTGATACAGTTCTGGAGTTTGAACTCATAGTTACCTACCTGCTTGGCCTAAGGAGCCCTAAGCTAAGTTTTCAACTTAAGTGTTCCAGATAGGAGCCAATGTAAACCCTAGGTTTCACAGGATCTCATTAGATAAAATCCTGCCAACTATCAGCACACATTCCAAAATTATAAAACACAGGGGAACAAACCACTCTGGGGAGGAGTCAGCAGAGTCTGACCAAAAAGGATTTCAGATATTAGAATTTTGAGATATAGAATATAAAACAAGTTTAAAAATTTTAAAGAAGGAGGAGACATTAAAAACATGAGAGCTAAGATACTATAAAAAATTATAGCAGAATTGATAAAGAACCAATTCAAACTCCTAAAAATTAAAAATATGATTGAAATTAAAAAACTCATTGAGTGAGTTTCAGCAGCGGGGAATAGACTTATCATTTGTTGTGAGGATTAACGAGTTATGAAGAAATTACCCATTATGCAGCACAGAGAGATAAAGAGGTAGAGAATATGAAAGAGAAGGTAAGAGACAGGGAAGATAAAGTGAGAGATTCTAACTGTCCTATTTGTCATTCCAAAAGAGATGAGACAGAGAAGGAGATGGAGAAAATATTTGAAGATTATCTTTACAAAGTAATGAAAGATAGTGAATACTCAGATTCAGTAAGTAAAATAAATCTCAAGTAGAATAAATAAAAATAAATTCATGCCTAATCACATCATAATAAAGCTATAAAACAAAGACAAGAGATTTTAAAAGCAGTCAGAAATAAAACATTATCTATTAAGAAATAACAATTAGATGGGCAACTGACCCCTCAACCATAGCCATATAAACCAGTAGTACAATACAATAGTGCCTTCAAATGCTAGCAGAAAATAATTGCCAACCTAGAATTGTTTGTCTACAAACTGGTATTCAAGAATGAAGGTAAAACAAGGATACTTTTAGACAAGCAAAAAATGAGACTTTACCATTCTCAGACTTCTAAACTTTGTCAGGAAAAAAAAGAAAATTATCTTGAAAGGAAGGTATGATATGCAAGAGAATAATCCAAATGTTAGTAAAGAAATGGGTAAATATAAACAAATATTGACCATATAAAGCAACAACCATAATATGTAATTTGTGGGTAAAAATGAAAAGAGAACATAAATGTTAGTCACCAATAGTGTAGAAGTATGTGACTGCAGCTGAATTGTTGGGGAAAGGATAACAATACTGAATAATATTAAACTGTTAAATATATATTTAAAAAATTAAGGGCAGTCCTGGCCAAGTGGCTCAGTTGGAGTATTGTCCCATACACCAAAAGTTTGCAAGTTCAATCCCCAGTCAGGGCCATACTCAGGTTGTGGGTTCAATCCCTGGTCAGGGTGCATATGGGAGGGGGAGGCAACCAATTGATGTTTCTCTCTTTCTCTGTCTCTCTCAAATCAGTAAAAACATATCCTCAAGTGAGGATTAAAAAGAAATTAAGGGCAACTGTTGCATATTAGTAGTAAAATGTACACTTCTGAATCAGCAGAGAGAAACAAGAAAGCAGTTTGACCACTTAATTACCATAAAAAGAAAGTGTAGATATAATTCAATAGTGGTCACTGAGCAGATCGGACTCCTCTCGTTTGCGTGCCTCCCTCCACTTCCTCAGCAACCGTGTCTGATAAACCCGATATGGCCCAGATTGAGAAATTTGATAAGTTGAAATGGAAGAAGACTGAAATGGAATGGAAAAATCCACTGCCTTCCAAAGAAATGATTGAACAGGAGGAGCAAGCAGGTGAATTGTAATGAGGCCCACACCACCTATATGCTCTGTACGTTCCACAAGCACTGCCCTCTTGCTTTAGTACTTTTAGCTGTTTAATTTTGTAAGATTCAAAGAGGTTGGATCAGTTTAAATGGCTGTGCTGCCCCTTGTCACATCAGAACCACCGACAGTGAAGGCCGCACCTGCTGCTCCCATCTGCCTCTCTGCCTGGCAGGGAAGGAAAATAACTTTCATGTTGGTGGAGGAAGAAGCTGGGTGGGACGACAGTGAAATCTCAAGTAAACCAAGCTGGTTCAAGGTGCCCTGCAGGCTGTGAAATGCAGTTTAATCAGAGTGCCATTTTTTTTGTTGAAATGATTTTAATTATTAAAATGCACAATTTTCAAAAATATGAAAATAAAATGTTTTAAAACCCCAAAAAAGTGTAGGTAAAACTAGAAAACTCCAAATAAGATAATAGGAATAATCAGTAACCATAATATACTTAAAAAGACTGAGAAATTGAATTAACTAGATGTATTGGAATTATAAATTTCAATAAGAATGAACCTCAAAGTTATCAAGCAAAAAGGAAGTTGCAGAAAAGCATTTACAATATGATACTATTTATTTAAAGATTAAAATAGGCAAAATCATACTATTTTTTATTGGGGAGATAAGTAGATTTGTAGTCGAAGTAAAAAGGAATGCGTGAGAATGAGAAACTTAGGATAGCATTTCGCTGAGGGGCTAGAGTGAGAATGCGATCAGGGAGGAGTACACAGGGGACTTCGATTTCTTTCTTTTCTTTTTAAAAAGTATTTTACTTATTTATTTTTAAAGAGAGGGGAGGGGAGGAAGAAAGAGTAGGAGAGAAACATGGATGTGTAAGAGACACATGAATTGGTTGCTTCTCTCACACCCCCGAGTGGGGACCTGGCCTTTAACCCAGGCATGTGCCCTGAATGGGAATTGAACTGGCAACACTTCAGTTCACAGGCTGGCACTCAGTCCACTGAGGCACACCAGCCAGGGCTGATTTCTTATTCTTATGCTAGGTGGTGGGTACATGAGCATTCATGCACTTTGTATTTTTGTATGTCTGAAATATTTCATAATAAATAAAAATATATAGTAATTTAAAATTTATAGTCAGATCTCAGTGTGCAGCAACATAACTTTATTTTTTATAATTGAACATAAATTATTCATGAACATTTCTCCTTGGTAATGGAATAAACTTAAATTCACCTAAGCCAAGTAACTTTATCATTTCTAGTTTAAAATTTCTCTGTTAGTTTAGTTACTCTGAGTAAATTCTTAGCCTTTCAGAGTACCATATCCCATTTCCTTTTCCTTCTCTCAGCTAGTTACCTGGGTGTAGGAGGCCCTTCGGTCCAGGCACTGTGGTCGAGTTCTCAATGCTTGCTCAGAAGAATCTTGTCTCCTTCAGCCTTTAGAAGTTGCCTGCTGACATCTAAGGCACAGGTGGTTAGGCCAGGTCTTTGGGCCAGTATTTTGATACTGATACCCATGCTTCTGAGTATCATACCTTTTGCTTTTGATGCTCATGGTCCTTTCCTTGATATCAGTATTCCAGAGCCTTCCCTGGGGCACCAAAG